AGTTGTGACCTCTTCAACTCCGCCCGCCCCCGCATGGGCAACAGCTGGACAGAAATGCACATATTGGGCTCTCACCAGCACAGCGGTGCTGCCACTCTGCGCCGGGAGGTGGAGCTGCCTGCAGATGTTGGGGAACGTGGCGATTGCCTCCAGCACCTGCCCACGAACAAAAGAAAACAAAGTCAAAAAAAGTCAAATCCAGGCAGAACAACCGCCGACAGTCTATCAAGAGAGCAAGGTACAAAAACGCCGCAACAACGGACAAAACAAGCAACACCTGCTGGGTTGCGTCCACGCGCACGTTGGCAAGCCACCGCGAACGGTTAGGATTGCAAGAGAGTGTGCGCTATTCCGCCCAATCCAACACGCACGGACGACCAGCAATAACGAGGATAGACGCCCGCTACCAGCCAGCCCCCATGGAGTCTTGGGCGGTTTTCTCGCTCTGTCAGACCTTGTCGGCACGCTTCACTCCCTCCAAAAGCTTGGAGGCCGTGAGACATCCATAAACACCCTCATGCCCTGGGCAGATGCAAAAAACCTACTGAGTACAACATATTAGCTCAGACGTGAGTCGAGTCGCTCAGCGTTTTTTCGCAAATTTCATACCTCGTCGGGGAAGTCTTTGGGGTGCGGGGACGTGAACCGAACCCTCACCTCCGGGACAGCGGATGCTACCTGCCGCAGGGAAATTGCAAGGAATTTCCCTGAGAAGTGGAAACAGGCTTGCATGGTGGAAGGGCAGGGTTGGTTCGCACGATTATTCTTGTCGGTGTTTGGGTCCTCCAGTGGCAGACTTTCCTTTGGGTTAGGGCTATTGAGACAAGCAGAGGAGTCCATGCCTCAAGGTGAGCTACTCAACCTAATCAGAAACGCCGCCCCAACGTGTCGGCGTCGAAAATCAGCCGGGCAACGCAATCGATGTCGTGCAGCCCCGAAAACCACCGTGAGAGACAAAATAAAAAACAAATCAACACTACGTTTCGCGCTACCCGGAAACCGTCGTGGGAGACCAGCCAATTCCAAAAAAAATACTTGAGCCTGTTTATGGGGGAGACGAAATTGTTGTGCCATGAGCAAGAAAAAAAAAAAAGTAGATACCTCTGCCAGAAGCTCGGCGAAGTAGGCGCCGGCGCCCCCCCTGGAGCGAAAAGTGTTGCCGAAGCCGGCGGTTGTGGTGTAGTCCGTGCCGTTGTACAAGGCGGTTGAAGCCTCCGACCGGTCGTGGTAGCTGTTCACGTTCTGGCCCAGAAGGGTCACCTCTCGGACACCATCGTCCCGCAAGCGCATCGCCTTCGAGGATGGGGAGGAGGGGGAACGATCGAGCTGATGAAAGAGGGGCAAGAGGGGAAGGGTGGGTGGGCGGAAAGAACGACTATCTTTTCATAGATAAGTCTGTCTGCTTGTTTATCTCTTGTCCGCCTCCTTCCCTTCACACAGACGTCTGGCTCTGCTTAGGCTCTACCTTGTTCTACCTTGTTCACTCCGCCTCCATCCAACGCCATTCTATTCACAATTTGTCTGCTCTCTTGTCGCTCTCTCTCACGCCCCTGTGTATCGCCCTCCGTTTAATACCTCGTCCACGATGCTGCCCAGGGGGCGGCTCCGCTCTCTTCCCCTCGTGAAGGGCACGATGCAATAGGTGCACATGTTATTGCAGCCACGCATGATGCTGATGAAGGCTGATACCGCCTCCGAGGTGTTGTTGACTAGCCGCACCGGGGCGATATCGGCGTACGTCTCGTCTTGAGACAGCTGCCCTCAGGTGATATCATTCGAAAAGAGCAACGAACGAGTAGCCAAAGGGACGGTAACGAGGAGCATTGATACCGCAAAGGGAGCACAGCAGGGGGGGGGGGGGGGGG